TCATTATATAAACTAATCCTGCTAAACAGCATATAACTATTTTCAGAGAACTTGAACTGAATTCCACAGAGTTTTGTGTGCTCATCTTCAAAGTGAAATAGTTTTTGATGCTGCTCAATTAGCGCAACCCGCACTTGTGACCTAAAATATTAACAATTTGCACACGAATTTCATTCATAATGAGCACATAAGGCCACCATAAAGTAGCTAAAAATAATTAATTAGGCCTTGGGAAACGTGCACAAGCGACAATTTGTAATGTGTGTGTTATGCAGATAGAAACGGGCCAAAAAGGGTTAAATGACTCAAAGTGATTTAATGAGCACCATGTGGAAATTATAAAAGGGAGAAAGATATATTTAATATCTATGTACGGAGTATATGAATAATGCATTTAAATAAATAAATATCGAGTCAATTGCAATTAATTATATGAAAATTGCGCTAATTTTGATTTTGGCATATTTATGCTGCACCATTTTTTGTCACTATACACACACATGAAAAGGGAATTTGCATAAATGAATTGTAAACAACATGAGAATAAGAGGAGCGAAATGTTGCTCATTTCAAGTTTAGTAAAGGGCGTAGCAGTGGAAAAAAAACAGAACATTTACTCATATGTTAAATATGTTTGCGTATGCTGTGTTGCAAGGGTGCATGGTGTGTATGTTTAAAAATGTGTACATTTGTTGTACGTATTCAAGTATTTCGTGTTGACCTCTTAAGCAAAGTTCAAATTTATAGTTGTCTGTTTTTCCGGTGACCGGTGATATATTATTGACCCAAGTGCAAAGCCAACAACAGCAATTGTTTGCAAATAAACAGCGAAAACTAACAGAATGCAATTGTAAATCATTAAAATGAATTGTGTTTTTGGCATCATGCGTGTTACCCTATTACTCTCTTAATCTCTTACTAAAGCACATTTGCGATTCAATTTGAAAACGAAAAACTAATTTTTTCATTCATTTTTATTCGCCTTGCTGTTCAATTTAAAAAAGTTAAAGTTCTTATTTATGCTATTTATTTCCAAATTCAACACTTGTTTCGTACTTTTATTAAAGCTTTTTCATTTTCGGAAGTTGTTTAATTGAATGCATTTATTTTTTCGTAAGTCGTATATAATTTGACCGATTTTTATCACTACTTATGAAATTATTAAAAACACAATCATATTTTCAAATTTAAAGCAAAATTCAAACACAATAATCAGATTTACATAATTAATAATTATTTCCATTTTAAATTCCATTATTTTTGATATATTTGCAGATATACTGCAATTCACTGATAGTTCAATTTTAACAGCAAATAAGAAGTGGGAAAGTCAAATATATTCACAGCCAAAAAAATGCGAAATTTCGGACCCATGCATATTTAAAAAAATATATTGCCTTTTCCCAATTTTCGCGGTAAGTCCTTAATGTTAAAAATTCCAATTTTTATAAATCCACTTAAATAATCGATTGTTGGCGACGGCAAAAGAGTTAAATGAACAAACAAATGAAAAAACATCTTTAAAAACTTTTAAAACAATTAAAGTCCGAAAGCAGGAAAAAGCAATAAACAGAACCACTCAGTCCGCCTCCAGTGGCCGATGGACCTTAATTGTGAACACCAGACCAGGATCAAACGTTGTTGTCATGTTTGCCTTAAGTGCCGCTGTTGAAAAAAATACAGTCGGCCTCTCTTTGCCCAATCATCGTTATCTGTGTACTTTTGGGTTTTTGCATTGAACTGCGGCTGACACCATAACGGTCATAAGAATACGTGAACCAATTCCACACCCACTTCACCAGACCAACCCACCCGCACTCCGCACCCAGAACACACAAACATACACACACACAATTAGCAGTTAACATAATTACATTGGATGCCGCCAGGTTAATGATGCCCACTTGCCCCGATAAGAACGGCTCCACAACGCCCCCTCCCCTTCGCTGTGCAGCGCACTTTTGCCACATTTATTTATGGCCTTATGAATGGCATGCACATTACTGTTGTAAGCTGGAGAAGCCTTTGCTATCAGTGCTCCCAAATGAGACACAATTTCCATCTCTGCTCTTTGCTTTCAGACTTCCAATTCCATTTATTTTTGTTTTTTTTTTTTGGTTTTTGTTTTACGCTTTTCTTTATTTGCCTCAAAAAGGCCGAAATGCTGAGGGCATTAATATTAAAAGAAAATTAAACAATTAAAAAATCTTCAGTTACTTGTTGAGGCTGATGTCGAGCAAGTGGAAATCTCTCGAATTAATCTGGTTAAAGTAATTAATAAACGTAAATATTGATGTCCGCCAAGGGACACTGTCAAATTAAATATTTTGTATACAGTTTAATACAAACCTTCCCAGATTCGCCTTTACTCCTTTAAATGGTATATGGTTTAAACAATTCATATATACGAGAATTGTATATCGTATATATATATGGAAATTCTGATAAAAAGCATTTCACAAATTCTTGAAAGGATCAGCACAACTTTATTTGTGAAATGTGACAGAAGGCAAAAAAGTATTTAAATATTTAAGTGAATTTTTGTTTTCAGCTACTGCCTCAGTTGACTATGAGTATTCATAAAATTCCGGCTATTGTGCAGTTTCGAGGGCCAATCACTCAACTTTTACCTGCCACAGAGACTTTTTATCTGTTTGGGACAATGGTGAGTGCCGTGTTATGTTCCCTCTTGGAATGGCCGACTGCACAGCGTGTCCTTGTCTATATAGAAGTGCAAGTTCTAACTGCATTTGTGTATGATGATGCATACATGTATGCATTTAGTTGTAGTTGTTTGTGCTGGCAGATGGTGTTACTGTTTATGCTTTTGAACATTACGAGTATTTTGTGGATATGTGGCGGCTGGTTGACCCATAAAGGACAGATTACGTGATTTGTGGGTTGCCGGAAGCGACAGCTTTGACGTCACTACCAGCACCAGCAATTGCGATGCACAGTAAGCACCGTTCAACATTTCAAAGGATATCAAAATTTAAATCACGTCACTTAGAAAGAGAGGGTGCACAAAAGACACGGCTCGTCGTTAGTTGTAAGCGGTGTTGTTTCCGTTTCGTGTGGGGACATGTCCGCATCCGTACATAATAGGGCGACATGTAAATAGTTGACCCAGGCTCCTGTGTCCTGTGCCCTCAGACCGTGCAACACAGCCTCTTGTCTGCGTGTTTGTTAAGCTGCTTTTGAGGTTGGCGCTCAAGTACTCAGCGTGGCACTAATGTGCGTGTGTTAGTTGTGTGTGAGTTAGTTGTGAGCGTGTGTGTGTGTGACTTGTGATGTTGGTGAGGCGCGGCAAAATGCTTGTTAGGCTTTTGAGCAGCCGGCTGTGGTTGGCATATCACGTTGGAAAGCAGCCCCAACTCCATCAGCAAGTAAAACTACAAACGAATGCGAGAGTTGCGATTTCTAACCACAATCACCCCACGGGACCCTAGCACCCCAGCCATCCAGGACGCCAGGAGCACAGCACTCCCACTACATTAAAACGCAATTAATGTTGCGGGCGTTAATTGTGCCCCACTTTGTGGGTTTTATTCCACTTTCTTTTTTTTTTTTTGGAGAGGCAGGAAGAGCGCGTTACTCACCAAAAATTAATTACTTTTGGCCAGCCAAAGTTGCCAAAATCCTTTTAAAAGAGACTCGCCTAAATTTGTGCCAAAAAGATAAACAATCAAGTGCGTTCCTCTTAGCATTTCCGCAATCTGTGCAATTTCAGTCGGTAATTTATTTGACTGCCTACTGATGAAACAAATGGACATTTCCAGGGCCTCACACCAAAATGTCGTAGTTAGTCAATATTATAAATAAACTATAAAAGGGAAACTGGCATTTAATTTCGCCTTTTAGATCAAATCCAGATGCTGTTAATTACACTCATTTTAATTTTAAAGAAGTGTCTTTAGTCTTAATATACTTGAAGCGATGAAGTATATCGTACTTAAAAGATCACTTAACCTTAATGATTTATTTAAACTTTAGCACATACATTTTGTGAACTTATAATTGAGAGGGTTTTCTCTTTTAATCTCTGGCGCTTAAGTGATTAAACGAGAAATCCCCAATTAATTACATTTTTCAGCAATTTCCCCAGCGCAGATAAGCTGTCAATACGCTGAATTAAAAACATTTCAGATAAAAATTCCTTGTTAATTTTTTCCACCTTGGGCATGAACAATATGTATAAAAGTATTTATCTGCAACTATTCATTAGTACGTTCGATGAAAATGCTTGGGCCATAATTGACCGCTTTATGATGTTATCTCATTATGCTTTAACTTTCGATAAGTTTGCGGATTTGTGAAAAAAGCAATTTCATAGAAACACAAACACGAGATGAAGAGTGCTAATGAATCATGCCAATGAATAATGCCTCAAAAGATACTCGGAAAGATTTAAAAGTGAACTGCAGTAGCGGCAGCAACAGCTTCTGGAAATGTGTGCATTGTTCTGCTAATGGGGTCACACAAACACACACAAGCACACACAAGCACACACACAAACACATTGCATCTTCCTGCTGTGACCTTATCGTATCTGAAGTATTGCCCAGACCCCCACATTGCACACGCTCGTTGCGCAGTTAAATCCGTTCGCCAGCCAACTTTATCTTTCAGCACAGATTTTCAATAGCAGCTGCAGTAAACTTTTGTTTATTTCACTTGCCACTGCTATGCGCTTTTCAGCTGTCTTTGTATGCTACCCGCTTAATTTTTTTTTAAATTATTTTATTTAGTCCTCTAGCAGCTGTCGCTTGTTTTCTTTTTTCTTTGGCTTAAGCGGCAGCCGTGACGCTGAAATAATTAGTTGCTGGTGCCGACAAAGCACATCAGGCTGCGCAAATAGACAGAGAGAGACAGAGTGAAAGAAGGACAGCTAAAGCAGGCTTATAGTTTAATGTCATAGATTTTCAATTAGGTAGCACTTGAATCAGAGTCAGATTCAGAGCCACAGCCAGAATCAGAGCCCAAAAGCTGGCATTATTTTTAAAATTTTCTATCCCAAAATAGCGAAAGCCAGTGAGAATCGAGTAGATATTTATTGACTGCATTCCAGCCTGAAGGTGAGCTACACATAACCAAATGCGCTATTCACACATGCACTCATTCACACTGCATTATCCTTGATGTACATCGTCATCATCCCTATTAATTTGTTTCGTGCTGATTACGTTCATTGAGTACATTTTGATTACATTTTTGTTTGCTGACCACGTGTAGTGATTGCAATTATTATTGTCTCTGTTATGCTTTTAATGACCGCTTAAAATGGCTCTGAAAATGCGTTTTTGTTTTAACTAAAGAGACATATTACAAGTTGGCTCTTGATAAAAGCAACCACACTAATCAATTTGCACATTTAAAATACGCTCTTGTAAATCGGATAAATTGCAACTGAACTGATTCGTGCAAGCAAAATATAAATTAATAAAAATGAAAACTTTTAAAGTTATTTTAAAAGTCGAAGCAGTGGAAGTAAGGAATTAAAGCTCAATTGGTTTAGTGTTTTTTGGAAATGTAATAGAAATAACAGCTTGTAAAGTAATAGATAAGTTATATACTTTAATTTGCTCAAATAAATGTCAAATGCAATTAAAATCATTGCCCAAGGCATAAGCCGTAAATAGTATACACATAATTAAATGCATGAGAAAATCCGGTTACGTCTCACATAAACACAAGGCAACAAGCACAAGTGGGCCCAGTCTGCCAGAAGAGCGACAACTGGCAACAGCAGCAGCAACTGGCGAATATGTTGAGCAGTTGAATACCAAACAGGCAAACGAGTACAGCGGCAGAGGGACCAGAACGCAAAGAGTTTGTAATGCGTTTGCATGCGGGTCTACGACAGAACATTACGTATACGCATGGTGTTCAGCCAACGGCTACAATATGTTCCTGTGTTGCGCTTGCAAGCCTAAGCCTGAACCACAATTTTCGCTTTTGTGTTTGTTGCGCGCACAATGTTGAGGAACTGTGTATTAGTTTGATAGTTTGTTACATTGCCCGTTGGTAAAATTCTGTGTTTCAATTTAGGGATTGCTCTTTAAGGCAAAGCGTTGAAAATGCATTTCAAATATTGGCACAGTTGAGTTTGTTTCAGTTTTATTGCAATAACATTGGCCTCAATATGTGCGAATATTTGAGGCAAATATTATGGCTATAACAAAAAAAGGTTAATTGATGCAAGATATTGAGATATGCAAAACAAACTAAGACTTTTATCTGTATACGTAACTCAAAATTCCCTTAAGGCCATTAAGACAGATAACTAATCCTTAAATTTTATTTATTTTAGATAGTAATATTAGCGGTTAGGAGACTTAAAATATTTGTGGGTCTTCTGAAAACTTAACTGAAGCATTAATTACAATATTAATTGAAATTAAAATAATAACACTAATTAAAATTTGGAATGACTTAGTTGCCTTGCTTTTAATGAACAACAAAAACTTTTCAATGTCTTTGCAATTTGTCCATAGAAATGATTAAATTTAAAGTTAACAATGAAAATTATGAATTTAACCTCTAAGGACAGTGCCCTTTAATTTTCCAATATACACTGCCTTCATAGCATTTGCAACAGTACGTCCAAGATTATTACGTTGCATTGTGTTCTACAAAGGAGTCATTATGTGCAGGAACAAAGCAAATAATTACGTAAAGACAGTGAAAGCATTGTGGAACATACATACCAATCTATATATATATATACATATATTTGTAAGTGTGTGTGTGTGTGTGTGTGTGTGCGTGATTGCACTTTGGTCTATGCTGCCAGTTGGGCAGCAAAAGAAACATTAATGAAAAATCAATCGATAGTTGCAAATCAAACATGACCAGGAAAGGCATAAGCTGTGGCAGCAGGGCCAACAGCAGGGTAAGCGTGGCAGTCAAGCAGACATTTTTATGCTTGGCTGAAGCTGGAAGCGTAAGAGCAATTTTGTCTATGCCACCTTCAAGAGTGTATGGGCTATGCAGGGTCCAGAGACTTTCATGCTACGCAAATTTAACGAACGCATCAGTGAATATTGCTTAGCAAACCAAGCAAGACATTAAGCAGCGGCTAAAAACTTGGCCAAATCCTGGCAAATTTTCAATTTTTCAGTCAATCAGCTAGAAAAAATAAACGAAATCAATATGCTGCCACGCCACTCAGTGCATATACGTAATTGGCAGACAAAAACTTTTACACAGCGATTAGGCCACAAAAAGTTTTCAACGTTAACTTTGCCTGACATCCGCCGCAATCACATCCATAATGCTTAGTTTCTAATGTGTCTTTGACAGCCAGCTGCCCACCGAAATGAAAGCTCACTCAACAGCCATGGATGTCGATGGTGATAACGATGATGATGATAATGATGTTGATGATGATGATAACGATGATGATGATGATGATGATGTGTTCATCCAGCTGCGCCACCTGCAGGCTAATCATCTCTTTCTGCGTGCACAGCTGACACAACTGGCACAGCTGCACAGGGCTGTCCTGGCGAGGCGACTGTGCCAGCAGAGGTGCCTGCTGGAGGGGCGTGCCGCACTGGAGACGCAGCTGCGACGGCTGCAGTTTAAACACAACCGCCACTGGGGCCTGTGAAATTTAAAGCCAACCGACTTTTACCACTTGCAAGAATTAAGTTTCGCCGTAAAAGTGTTTAAAAAATGGCGAATTCTCAAATTAAATAGTTTACAGACAGATTAATATTTATTTAGAAAATAAAAGCTAAATGTGTAACTTTGACATAAGGACATTGAAATGAAAATTTAATTTCAAATTACACTGTTACAGCTTTGATTTTTGAGTAGCATTTTAGTAGCACTTACATATATCTTGGGCAACATAAGTGATTTCAATTTGGCAACCATCATTGACAAGCTGTTAAACCATGTCGTTGAAAACATTTTCATTGAGTTGATGGCCAAACCTTAATTTTCTACTACATTTTGTTTATGCTGTGGTTAGGCTCCATATTACGAAAACATTTTATAAATAATAAAACTTACTCAACTTAATAGCCCATTAACAAAACACTGCAACACGAGGTCACTACAGTTGACATCCCTGCCATCTAACTTAACACAATGTAAGCCAATAAATCAGACCACAGTCTAGCCACAAGTTGTACCACTTTTGACCATTGAGATTAACCCATTCTATCCGGTTGTGTCTCTGTGTGTGTGGGTGTGTCTATGTGTGTGTGTGTGTGTGTGTGTCTGTGTGTGTGTGTGAGTGTGGCTCTGACTAAATGTAGCGGAACAGAAGACAGACCATAGACCAAAGACATCACAATTAAATCCACCACACACCGCACACAATTCTAGTTTAACAACTTATTCTGCTTGAATGACACTCAGACAGAGAGACAACAGACAGACAGACTGACAGACAGATAGACAGACAGACAGACAGGCAGACAGAGAGATATATAGAGACGCACAAATTCATGTTGCCTGTAAATGACACCTATAGCCTGTTATCATTAAATCCTTGGCTCGCACATGGATGCGAATGACAACCGTTAAGTGGACCATAAGCGCCACAACACAAATGCAAATGCAAAATGGAATTATTGTCGTTCACACACAACCACACACACACACACCCGCACACACACAAACCCTCAGCCAGAGTTAACGATTCGTTTGAGGGGGTGGAGTTTTGTTAAAGTGTTTGCATATGCAAAAGCACACGACGACGATAGAGGAACTGACCAAATAGCCACGCCCAGCCATAAAGCCAGTCAGTGTTTGGGGCGTCGTTTCGTCGGACTGCATTTCAGCGATATAAATATTTATATAAGTTAATCGGTTTATGGTGCACGAGTAATTGAATTCAGACTGCGCAGCGTTGACACCCATGAGACCCATCATATCAACGAATACAGTTTCTACTCAGCATTCAGGTGTCCCGTGCCCGGTCAATGTGACTCCGACTACTATTGACTTACCTTATACACACATATACACAAATACGACATACATACATACTTTTTGTACAGGCAGTGTTAAATTTGTAGGTTAATTTTTTTGCATGCGGCGCAAATTTGTTTTTAGAGTTGTAGCGGAAGTGGCAGCGCCAATTGTTGGCTGCCCCAGCGCTTCCGCTTAGTTGCACATTAATTGCATTTAAATTTGACATTACAGACACACTAACAACAAACACCATGATACACCCACCCGCCCACTTTCCACTGCAGCACTTTTAACGCTCGTTTGCACAATTTTGTTGTTTCACTTTCCACTTCTTGCATAATTTAAGTTATTTCCTTTTGCTTGGCTTGTCCAAGTTTGTACAGGGGATAGCCAAAGGGGTTGTGGGGTGGTCGGCGAGGGGGGTTGGTGTTTGTGTTTGTGTTTGTGTGCTTTGTGAGTATGGAGGACCCCCTTTTTATGTTGTTGTTTTCAATTAACTGTGCGTCTAACTAAACGGCAAGTATATTAATGTTTATAGTGTATAAAAATGCACTTTATACGGAGCACAGCGTGGCATGCAACAATGACGTTGCCATTCTGACATGCTGCTTGGTTATATACATTTATTTACATACATTTAATCAAGCCCATTATTTATTAAATCAGACACTGTTTTGCATATAACGAGTATAATGAACGAGTTCAAATCACAACTCTCTGAAATTCAAATCAAATCAATCCTAAATTGCTTTATATTTTAGACAATCTGAACCAATTTTATTTTCATGGTCCGAAAATTTGGCAAACAATTATTAATATTGAATTACGCTTCATAGAGTTGCTCCAATGAAATCAATTCAAAATAATTTAATTGTTGCATATTAATCTTTGTAAATTTGCAAAGAAATAATTTCATTTTAAAGAATTTGCAGAATAAATCGATATTTTCCACAGTTTTGAAATCAAAGTGAGCAATTTTATTTAGATTGCTGATAGCCTTCATTAAATGATGCGTCAATAAAATATTTATGTTTAAAATTTCCTCTTTAATCAAGAATTTTACATTAAATTTGCTGGTTGTTAAACTTGTGTGTTATTTCTATGTAGATGCATATTTGTCATACATGGCATTTAGCTCTCATAATTCACAAGTTGATTTAGGTAGTCAGCTCGTATGTTTAAATATGTTGGCAAATGAAACTCTTTTGAGTGTGTCCGTGTGGCGATGTCTGTACTATCCATGTATGTACTAAACATGCTGGCATACACAATGAGAATGCCTTAAAGCAAGACAGTTTTTAGACAGTTTAATGTTTGTGGAAAATCAGACAAAAATGTACTTCATGCATGTCTCTACTCGTATTGTGATGCCCAAGTCAACCACAGACTTAACAGAATGACATACATAGAATGTATAAATAAACTAACTGAAATGCAAGTCAACAAGCAAAAGATGAAATTTAGATAAACAGAAAAGCGCCCGTAACTGTTTCAAATGTTTTACAGTCACTAAAATAAATGTTCACAATGTCAAAAAAGGATTTTTATGTTTTTCGTCCTATTGTTGGGTCTGCTACTTGTGGAGAACTTGTATAAATTATAAGTTATTATCGTTATATTAAAAAAAAAAACTTTAGAGGCCTTAAAATGGGGTATAGCAAATCAAAATGATTTACTTTATCCCTTATTGGATTTATTGAAATGAAAACTTAATACTTAAATTTTAATTGTACATTATTTCATTTGTAATCTAAATATTTAGTTTATTAATATAATTTTGACTACAACCTTCTTTAGATATTTTATTTTTGATTAATAATCCATTAATAAAAAAAGTAAAAGTAAATCACTGATTTTTTGTCAGACCCAGTTGAAGGTAAAATATTTTATGGGGTATCTCGTATGTTGAGTCACTGGCAAATACCTTTTGGCTGTGGTTTCATTGCTCTTTGTTGTGAATGAAAATTATGGTAGACAAACGTGGAAATAGCCTGAGGAAATGAAAATGGCAAGAAGTTGTGACAACAACAATGCGAATAAAAAAGCAATTTCCTAACTCTTTTTTTTAAGTTGTGAAAAAAAAACGAATTTGAAAAATAATTTGCTTTGTAATACATACTCCCAAGATCTTAACAAATCGTTATCATAAATACATGTTTTACATGCTTACGCATTTTAAGCGTTATTAAACTTTGCAAAACAAAATCTTATAAAATATATTACAACTTTTATTCCGATGACTACTTGCAAGGAAAAGTTTTTGGAAAACTATTTATCTGTGATATTCAACATGGACTCGATTCGATTAAAACATCTTCGGATGCCACTTTTTAATTGCAAAACACATACTTTTATGCTGCTTGTTGCTTCCACTTCACTGGCAACTTTGTGAGTGCTCCAGTGCGGATTCTAAAGTGCGTTGAGGGGCAGAAACTGGGGGAATGCTACATTTGGCAGAACTTCACTTTTAACAAGTGAAAAACTTTCAATGGGCAATTAAAAGGGCATACAAAACAAGGGGACAACAACAGTAGAGTTCAAGTCTTTGCCAGGAACTGGAAATCTGTTGCAAGACGCCGAAGAATGTGGCAAGATGTACCAGGGGCTAACGGGATGTTGTCTTGGAACTGCAGTGTCGCCAAAGCTCACAGGAAATGTTAGCAAAGTGCATTGCGCAGATTTACCAAAGTTTTTAGCCAGAAGGCAATTAAAGTTTTACCACCAGCAACAGCAACTATGTATGTGTGTGTTAAAACTGTTTGAGGTCATAGGAGTAATTGACACTGCAGTTAAAATAGTTGAGCGTCGGAAATATTAAAGATATGGCATCAGCCGCAAATATTTAAAATAATTAAATAAAGTCACAGCTCGAATCTTCCCCCAAATAGTTAACACCCTATTGAAATTCTGTTCGTCTAATTTCCCCTAATCAACTGTAGTTGCCTTGCTTGAAGGTCAATAAATCATAATTATTCTACTCGGCACAAACTACGAATGCAATTTGTGTGAACAAGATTGTGTCTGTTGGTAATCTTCCTGTGGATGGCGATTCTACTGCAAAGGGTATTATCATTTTGTCACGTAGTCTGCCATGCATTCAACTAGATATATCAATAACCTTTGCATAAAGTATAAATAGATTCTTAGATTGAGTATATTTATTATATTTTAGCTTCAATTTGGTTGCCAATTTTCTTATAATTTGTATTCCTGTTTTTAAACACACATTCAGTCATTCTAGAATGACAAACTTATAAGTCAAAATTCGTAATTTTGCTTATGAAATATTTTGTTTTCATTAAAACAAAAGACTTCTACCATAATCATCGGCTTGATACATAAAGTATTAATTAACATTATAAAATATTTAGTTCATATTTAAATGATGTCAGGGAATTGAGTATTCCGCAACCCATTGTTAACTGTTCTTTGGAGTCCAATTAATTAAGTTTTCTCTGCTGCTGTGTGCAAGGATAAGATGTAATTGCAGTGTCTTCGGCTTTGGCTTTCCTTCCACGCCCACTTCACGACGAATAATTGCCATCAAATATTTTAATGAGCGTCAGCGTGTCAATGTCTCGTTTTCCGGTAAAGCGGCAAACATCTGGCAGCGTCTCAAAATATTTACAAGATATGACAGCGGAATAATTAACATTAAGCCAAGCAAAAGGAAGCACATGAGCACACCAACTATGTATGTACATGCAAATGCAATAGAAAGTGGATTGGGTTTGGGTTACGTCGGAAATTTAAATGTCAACACGTTACTGTTGATATGGAAATGATGAAGCGTGCTTACGACCCACATACACGAAGCATGATGGGAATTAAGGTGCACAGAGCTAGCAGTTGCTTCTTGATTTTATTACTTGCCTCGAAATTCCAATGCAAACACACGTTACGCATACACCTTAACCAGGTGACAGCTGCACCACCTGCATCGCATCTCGGTGGATGCATTAACACCTCCTTAATGCCAACGCATCTTCGCTTTCACACGCTTCACTCTTCTCTCCCTCTCTCTGTGACACTATCTCTTGCACTCTTGCGTGTGCTGCTCTCCATTGTTGCACGTAATGACATGCGGCTGCCAATGTTGCGGACGCAAGCACAGCCGCATGCTTTACCAGCCAAAAGCAGCGCGCTGCCGTCACTTGAACTATTATAATTTATGCAACCAGAGCCACCAAAGAACCACAAATTTCGCAGCACTTCAGTTCGCAAAACAGGAACGACAACAACAACAACTATTTAACTTGGTATTCGTCAGTATTCTTGGTATTGACACCATCTGGACTTGGCAGCATTTTGACGGCTTTTGCGACAAACTCGACAGCATCAGCTTCAAACTTGACTCGCAGCCTAGATAAGTTAGCCATTATAAATAGATAATTTGGACTCTGTGTTGAAAATTGTGATGTAATATGAAGGGCATTTTTTATTTTTCTCTTGATTCAAGATTGGAGCTATCTGAATATATAATTTATATTTGCAAGTGATAGTATATATATATATATATGTGTAGTTATTGATATTATTTGAATATTCGTAGTGATGCCAGAGCATTGTATTGAATTAAATGCAAATAAGTTCTTAGAATTTCATATATAATTTCAAGCTCATTACTTGGAAAAGTAAAAGCAAATTAAACGAAGCTAAACAAAATAATTTAATTGGCAATTAACGATAAAATCAATTATTGTCAAATTTCTTAGAATTTAAATTGGAATTTCATGTCTACGCTCATTACTTGGCAAAGTGAAAGGTAAATTTAATGGGGTTAAAAACAAAATTATTTGATTGGCAATTAATGTTAAAACAATTGCTAAATTTTGTTTGATTACATATTTATTCAGCAGTGATTATATTAAATATATATACAAAGAACCGTAACACTAAAGTTATCGTCGATAAAATAAGGAAATGCTTGAAATATAAATAATAGTTTATGCGCTGCATTTATTACCAGTCACCAATCACCAGTAATGATAAGCTCTTAAATGTATATTTTGATTAATATTGTTGGAAAATGATATCCAAAACGGATTTATCATTGCAAGTAATTTAGATCTCTGCACCAAAAATTTTTGAGCTTTATAAAGGCCACATCTCTGAAAAACAAGAAATTCAAGTTGTGAATTTGATTATATTCTGCGAGCGATCACTGCAATTGGTGTTAATAAATAGACACTTAGAATGATGGCGTGCTAAATGAGATGACCAATAACCAAAGAAACTGCGGCTGACATCAGAGAGAGCTGCAAGTGTATAAAGTTAATGCGCTAGCATAAACCTCAATTCAAACTCTGAACAGATAAGCATACCCCTTAAATTCAGTCACACTCGATGATAGCATCAGCAACAATTAGATACTGAACATATGGAGTCCTTTTCATCTTGCCGGGCATTTCAAATACTAGGGGAAAGTGTTTAGTTTCCGGCCACTTGGCCAATGCAATTTCCATGTTCCAGCGCTGTGCCAAGTCCTGATAGTAGCCCTGACGCAGTGCATCGACCTGCTCCAATTTGATCAAATGCGCCAGACTCTGCTCATGATACTTGTCCACATCGATGGCTCGCATGAGCAGCGCACTCGTCAGCAGCGTCCACTTGCTGTCCGGCTCATAGTCCAACAAATCCATGCAAGATTTCAATTGTGTTTGCAGCTCCGCCAGCAGCTCCTTGCTGCAACTAGTGGAAATGGAATGCGGTGGCACAAAGCAGTAAAGGCTTTCATCTTTGGGGTGTACGGAGAGGGGCAGTCGTTGTCCATCTGATTCTAAAATATAGTTGCTATTGGCATGCAAGTCGATGCTGCCGCATTCCCATTGCGTTTTATTCGCGTCCATGGGCAACCAGTTGTCCAATTCCAGCGAATTTTGCGCGCTGATCAGATGAATTTTTAGCTGTACCATCTCTGGACAGGATGTCTTCAGTGCCAGCTCCGCTTTGTGGGGCCAGCAACGAAAGGCAACAATTTCAGCGGATTCCTCCCGCTGCACGCCGCCGCCAAGGAGCCAGCGCTGATAGAACCAGGCGCTACTATCGTTGGGATCGGTAAACGCAGCCGTTAACACCATTTCGAGCTCCTGTTTCAGCTTCTGTTCACTCATGGGCCGCTCCTTCAGCTCGTTGGGATAGAGTTTGGGCAGCAGCAGGCTGCGATGATGCCAGCTGGAATAGTTGGAGAAATTCACTTTGATTTTCTCGGTGCAAAAGTCGAGCTCCTGCTCTGCAGGCACCGCCGCCTTAGCGCTCACATAGCGTCTATAGTCCCAGGTGTGAAAATTACGCTCATCGAATTTCAAATACTTGTTGCACAATTGCAGCTCACGTTGCCAGTTGGCCTCCGGATTCTGCTCCAGTGTCCAGCAGCGATGGTGCCAGCTATTATACGACTTGGGATTGACCATCAAGCACTGCTCGGTGAGATCCAGTTCGGTGGCATAAACCGTCTGCAACTGTTCCGAATAAGTTGCCGACTTCTTATCGCCATCTCCTTCTTCTTTAGCTTGCTCTTGCTCTTTCTCTTCCTCTTCTTTTTCGGTCTGCTCGCTTGCTTTTGGGGCTGGAGCTTTTTCTTGCGCTTGCATTGCCTGTTGCAACTGTGCCGTCTTGGCCAGCACACACTCGCGTCGTATGTTCCACAGGGTGCTCACGTCTGGATTACGCAGCAGTATTTGCACCGTTAGATTGAGTAATTCGTCATCGAGTTCGCCGCTGCTGCGCTTTATCTGGATGCGGGTCATTGCGGCGCGATAAGCGCGCATTTTTAGCACCTGCTCCTTCTTTTTGCGCTCGCGCTCCTCCTCTGTGGTTCGCACCTTGACACGACCGTGCATTTTTACCTAGGTTTTACAATATTAATATTTGCTAATAGTCCAAACAATATTAATATGCGAATTCACTAAGCTGTCGCAAGAAGAAGACAAGAAACAGCTGACTTAACATAACATGTTGCTGAACAGCTTTAACAGCGCGGCGAGTTACTTAACAGACCACCACAATTGACTGGATGTTGAATAAATGTTAAGCTGTTATGATGCGACACAAAAGCTGCTTGCTATAGAAAACATTTATAAATATTGCGGATTGCGACAAATAGATGGCGCCTGTAAGTTAAGTGGTTTTAAATACAATTAGTCTTTCTATTCTAAATAATATACGAATAAATGAGAAAATATCATAGTTATTATTGAAAATAAATACATAATCTTAATTGTAAGAGCTACATATAATATCATTTATTTAAATTTTGCTTAGCCATTTCAAATTGCTACAAAAGCTGTTTAAATTTAAATTTTTTAACGATGAATGCGCTCTGACTAAAATTTGTCGATTTTAAGCCCTTAGCACTTGCACTTACTTTTTCTTCAACATCACTGATCCAATCAATAAATTTCTACAATTTTATCACGTAAACTTCGGCGAACAAGTAATAAAATTTAATTAGAAGAGCATTTCCCGCGAGGAGATGCTAGAAAAGCAATCGAACTTAAATACAAATACGAGAAATTTTTATTGTTTTATGGCTGTGCACCAATAAAATAAAAGTCGCATTGACAGCCATAAATGAAGGCGGCAGGACACAGAAATCGAGCCAAGCCAAGCTAAGCGAAGCCAGTTCACCCTCCACCCCTCGTCTAGGGAGCAATTTGAGTCAAGGCAGAATCAGAAGCAGGTGCGAATGAAGGACACGAATCCTGGCAGCGGCAGCAGCAGCAGCAGCGTCCTCGTCGTTATTTTTTAAGATGGGAGCGGGAAAATCAATCGTGCAGCAAAATCATAAAGAGGATATTTTTGTGTGTGTATGTGTGTCAGTATTATACATATTTTTGTGGGATTTTCATTATACCCTTGGCATAGGGTATTTAAATTTGTTCGCGTAATGTACACCGCTTAAAATAAGTCTCCTTTATATAAATTCTTGATAAGCACCAGAAGACATTTTAAAATTCCAATGGCCACGAAACATTTTTGTTTTATTTTTAAGAAAACTCTTAACGAAATTCGAAATAAATCCCTTGAACCCATTGCCTTAGTTAGAACTGATTTGAATCAAACTTTTAATATAACTGTGTACATTTTAAATTTCATAAGCTAGCAAACAAATATTTTGCATTTCTATTTGTTGCTTGTTTTTCTACACTATTCTTCGTAATGTTATATTCACTTATATTTGGGGAACTTATACCTGGGGAACTATAATCTATATTATTATTATACAGACTTATCTTCAACGCGCGAAAGCCTCAATCTAACATTCTTATCAGGGTGCTCATAGAAAAAAAGGCAGTTCATTTAAATATATGTATACACATAAAAAAAGAGAAATATATATAAAAATTCTTTTATTTAAGTAAAAATTGCAGCTATTTCTTTATGTTCGTAGTATTTTAGTTCAGATTGTGTAATTGAATATTTCGAACAGCTGATAAGAGTATTAATGTTTCCGTAAAGCCAAGGATTTCTTTTCTGGCTTATTTTCTCAGCGAATTTGATGCGGCGCGTTGAAATGTAGGCGTGGCAGCAGCACCCGCTCCCAAATCTAATTCAATGGCCCCGAGGCGCGTTTATCAAAGCCAGTTCCCGAGGGTTGTTCACTGAGCAGCCAAAAGCAGCAACAACAGCAGCAACAACAACAACGACAACAGCCGTCGTTACCGTTAGTTGGCATATCCTTGCTGTTGTTGTTGTTGTTGTCGTCGTCTAATGTGATACGCATCAATTTATGAAATTTGAAATATTATGACTGATTTTGCTGTTCGTCCTTCGCCCCGCTGCCTGCCCGCCTGCCAGCCGCGTTAATCTTGGTAACAGGTCGCGACAGGCGAGAAGAGCAATGGGTGGCGGGTGGGAGTGCCGTGGCACACGAGCCGAGCATTTTTAAGGATAACAACAACAAAGCAGAGCCACAGCTTAGGTGCAAAATGTACACGAAACCATAACTCATGCTATATATCACATAACGTGGCCCGTTATGTGGGCTAAGCTGATGACACCGACAGGCAGACAGACAGACAGACAGTGAGACAGATTGAGATAGAGAAGGAGAAGAGAACATCTCGCATTGGTAATTGGAGTAACAAAAACCATGAAAATGAAATGAAGCGAGATTTTTATTTTTATGACACACACAAAAGAGCTGACGATTTAAAGTGAAGGTCGGACCCAGGGGTGGAATAAAAGGGCAGCGGATTGCGGACAGCGGATTGCGGACAGCGGACAGAGGACAACAGGAGACGACCAAAGATGCGACAGAGCTGATTGGGTTCACTTTTGGTTAGGTGCCAGGGTCCATCTACAATGACAGACGACAAACGACAGACGACTGCAAACTGCAGACAGGCTTCAGTTGATTCAAAGGCGGTTTAACAAAAGACGAAATGGCTTTTGGGATATGGGAAAGTTATATTACATGGAGAGATACGTGTTTATGTATGTATTTATGTATGCATATTTGATGAGCACTGCTAGCGTTAATTTTAAGTATTTTCTTAGAAATCGGATTAAGAGATTACAGGCTCGTGCTCAACGAAAATTTCATTTTAAAAAACGGAATAACTTTGTAAATGTCTTTTATATCCAGAGAAAAAGTGTTTAGAAATGGTAATATTGCTTGTCGCATGGCTCATCTAATCTGAATTTCTTGTTTTAATTATAATTTGGAATTAATTGAAAATGCATTCTCAAATAGATACGCATAAATATGCGAATGATGTTGATTAGCATTCGTTTTTTAAAATTGGGTTAAAAACAAGCAAGAATATCTAGTTTAAACATATCGAAATCCACCTGACTTTTTAAAAGAAACCTATTTTGATTAAGAGCGTACTAAATCTAATAATTATAAATCTAATATAAATATTTCGGGATATTTTTCTTCAAATTTAATGCATAGAAATCGTAAAATTAATAATCAATATTTTAAAATGGTTTTGTATAACAAAATGTAAGACGTTTTACACGTCTACCATTTGATGAACGGGGTTAATTACAGACTCGAATATACATATATGAAAGTCATGTCAAAAAGTCGACAATTTCGTTGCGTAACATGAAGATGTATGGGGTTGACAGTTGATAGCTATGTGTGACAAAGCCGTGCATGCTACCCGTGGGTTGGTCAGTGGTGCGCAGGTAGCCCAATAGGAAACCTACAAAAATAATTATAAGCAACGAGAAAGGAACATTTCCAATACACTCAGAAAATCGCTCTGGATTTTAGAAAATCGACATACTAACCTTATTTTTCAGAAAGTATGTTTCTAAAATGGAAACTTGTGTCCAGAATCCTTCTTTTCTTATTTTCAATTGACAATTTGCCGCATTGAAGAATGGATCTAACAGGCTTTGCATTTATAACGTTTATAAAAATGTTCTATTATTAAGAAATATATATCTGAACTTTTGAGATATTTTCTATTATTAAGAGATATACTTCTGAGCCTTACAAATATGTTTACATTGCTAAGAAATATATTTCTGAAAAATATAATAGAAGCCCTTCTAATTTGAATAATTTTGTGTTCGTTTGTTCAGGAATTATTTCTAAAAAAAACGAAAAATATTTACTAGTTATCAGGGAGATTTTCTACATTTGAGATTCCATTTTTTCTGAATGTACACTTGACTGCTCCGCAAGTGGCGGAGATTTTCCGGCGTGACACCAAACGCCCACACGGCAGAAGCAGTAGAAAAAGTCGTCAGCGGTTTTAATGTCACTGCTGCCGTCATTGCTAGTCAGCTCGCCTGCTCTTTGTGGCCTGATATTGCTGCGTGGACAGACAGGACAGACGGGACAGACAGGAGAGTAGGACATGCTGACTGCATGCGAAGAGTGCTCAAGCAATTGACGCAAATAATAAGCGGACTTGGTAAGATGACGCAGCTAAGACTGCACATTGGCGACTGTTGCGTGGGCGTGTCCCCTTGCTTACCGTGTTGCCAATGACACATATGCTGCCTGCCCCATTCTGCCTCACCCTCTGCATTAGTCGTAGCCTCGGCCTTTGCTTCGGCCACGGCCACAGCTTGAGCATTGAAATTGAAAAAGTTATGCAAATCTGGTTCTGCTGCTGCTGCTGCTGCTGTTGCTGTTGCTGTTGCTGCTGCTGACGACAGGAGAGCAAGCGAACGGGAAATGAGCGCACCATAACTGAATTAGTTTGCGCAATTTTCAGTGGGCGTCTCAGTGCTGAATACTTTAGTTCAATTGAGCCAATTCAGTTTTTCATTTTTGATGAACGCTCAAACACCATTTTAGTTCCACTTAATAAGGCCAATTATCAATTGCTAAAACAAGACTAGCAAATAACAGACTACCAAGAACAGTTGTGTTTTACTTTATATTTGTATAGCTAACTTAAAGATAGATCAATTTTGATTAGGCATCCTTGACAAAATCACCGAATGCGACTCGAACAAACTATAATAGATGAACTGAGCAGTGAAAGCCCAAATGAGCAGAGTTTAGTAGGTCGTTCTTATGAACCTATTCCGAACGATGTGGACCAACTCCGATGTGCAGTTAACAAGGATGCTGGACAGCGGGAGTATTGGATGTAAAAGTTTCTTGCGTGTAACTGTCGATTTGTGCTCGCAATTATTATAATTGCTATAATAACAAGAACAGCAGCAGCAGCAGCAGCAGCAGCAGCAGAAGCAGAAGCAACGACGATAGCAATGGCAATAACAACAACGAGTTGCTGATGACATGCAACGTGACAGGGGTGCGATTTGCCAACTGTGTCCTTCATAATGTCCTTTATCCTTCCATACGTCCAGGCAATAACGCTGCGTGCGTAAGCGCCTCAAAATCGCATCTTTATTTGTGCCGAGCATTAAAGGCTTTTGGGCGATGGCACGTAGCGAACCTAAATAAATACGAGCCGAACAGAACAGAGCAGAGCAGAGCAGACGAACGCTTGTTTTGTTTAAA